CATTTTCCAGGGCGATTCCCTTTTCATCCCTACTTTTTATACTCTCAATGCTACCACTGACAATCATTTTGAAAAAGATGACCTATGAATACAAACTTGCAAAGAAAGGACTGAAAATTTTGCATTTGGTGTACATGGATGATTTGAAGCTGTTTGGTAAAACAAAAGCTGAACTGAATTTATTAATTGAAAGCACAAAAGAATTTAGCCAAGACATAGGTTTGCAATTTGGAATTGATAAATGTGCAACAATGGCAACCAAAGCAAGCAAGTTCATAGAAGATGATGGAATAGAACTTGAGAATGAAGAAATGATAAAGGCAGTAAAACCAGAAGAAGGCTTTACGTACTTTGGGATTTTAGAGGCCTATGACTTAATACATAATAAAGTCAAGGAATTAACTTCAGGTATATATTTTACATATGATTGATTGTGTGCCATCATGCTGTTGCCCACTCATACTGGCCCCATAGATACATCTTCTCTATGACCCAATTTTTCCCTAAGTTGCTTCTTTAGCAATTTCAGTGGTGCATTCATCTGTCCTGTGGCTGAGTTTATGCATCTTGCTGCCACATTCCCTAGATTTTTTTTTTAAGTGTTGATTGGATAAAAGTTATTGGAAACAATGAATTCACTTGTGCTGGAACTCTTACTGGATAGAAAGTTATTATCTGTAACATACATCTTCATAATAAGGGCAATAAAACAAAGCACAATACTTCAATAACTTCTTCACTCCAGAGACAAAATCTTTGTTCTGATTGAATATCCGTAAAATTTCTTCCCAGGGCAGTTGTTGTCTAAGCATTAAACTTTGAGAAAGTTAGGGTTCTTCCTAGTCTACGATTCAATATTTGGCTTAACTATTTTTACTATCTTGAACACAACTTAGGGCACATTATTAAATAAAGCAGTAATGTCTAATTAGCTTTCAGATAATCAAATTGTTTTGTTTGGTATATAGCCTGCTATGATAATTTGTCTTAGTATTTTGTAATCATATACTTCTTTTATTAATACTTAATGTGACTTTGTACAGTACAAACATGTTTGATGGTATCACATCAGCCTTTTCTATGATATAAAGTTGAGATATGGGTGATTCTATCTTTCTGAATATTGATTACATTCTAATTTAAACATATATTTTCAGCCATCTCTTATATTTTAACACAATACTACTAACCATAAGTTATTTTGGAAATTTAGCAATTCCAGCATGACTAGAAAGCATCTATAATAGCTACTTAGTTCAAAAAACAAAAAGATTCCTTTTATTTTCTTTATTTTCTATTTTCTCCTCAAAAATGGCAATGCTTTAGTTTAAAGTATTTCTTGGGTGAGGATTCAAAATCATAAAGCTAAGGATTTTATCATTTTCAAATCATAGTGCTAGTTATATATTCCTGGCTGAACACAGCATGATTAAAAGTGTTATGTCAACACTTTAACTCCAGATTTCTTGCAATTGCATTTCTGAGAAGTTCAAACAGAGAAATGAGAAATTAATAGCAGAAGATATAGCGAAAATCTCCAAATTTGTGCCAATGAATTTAATAGGATAACTTTACAGGACAGGGATGGGTACTGCTGTTTTAAGTTTGTTCTTTTAACTTAATATTGTATTAGTATGCATGTTAGTGCAATTTAAACTGCATTTTTCAAACCAGTATGCAACACGTATTGTTCATTGGACAAATGGAACATTTTCAAATCACCTGAATTATTAAACATTAGAGACTAGAAAGCTCATCATTTTTTCTTTTTGGAAAAAGAAAGTTATTTAAAACTTTCCAAATCCAATTAAGATTTTTACCTAGATATTCAGGTATACATGCTTCAGAAATGATTTGAAAAACAGTGCTTTGGATGTAATATGAGCTGAAGCACAACACTTCCCTACTAGTCATTAAAGTATTTTGTCTTTTTTCAGCTTTTCCTCCAGCCTGAGAAAAACTTTCAGCTGATTTAAGAAATGCATGAACTGTAATGAGTGGACTCTTTAGCAACATATCTTTTTCAAGCTTGCAAAGCAGTTGAAAAGAATTGGGCTGCACTTAGGAATGCTGGACAGTTCTGTGCTTGCCTAGTAGGTATATTCTTGGATAAAAATGTAACAAATAAGAACATAGAAGTCCATAGAAGGAAATTTGGAGGATAAATGATAAAAGTATATTTTGCTATGCAGACCACATGACTTATATACTAGCAATGGATGAGAAGATGGGAGTAAAAAAGTTTCCATTATGACATCACAATGTAAATTTGGTTACGTTTGTATCATCAGATGCCATCAGATCCTCCTATATAAGGCTAATGTTGTTACCATCATTGTGTTCTCCAGCTATGATGGAATGTATTTCATCTAGACATAGATATTATAGTCTTGAATATTTGAAAGATTTCAGCTTGATGGACGCTGCAAAACATATTTTTATTTATTAGATTTTATCCCACCATTTATTCAGGAGTTTAAAGCAATATATATAGAAGTCCCTCTTCCCATTTTTCTGTACTACAATAGCCATGTTATGTAGATTTGGTTATGAAGGCATAACTATTTAGTCATTCTAAGAGCTATGCAGTCCAGTTCCTTAACGATGTCACCATATTATTTGAAAACATATTTGCCAAATGAAATACATGCTCAGTGAATGCAAAGGCAGAATGTTGCTTTTTTTCAATCAATTAGAAAATTATTTCTATGTCTTTTTGTCAGTTGTCCTTTATTTTTATGTTCAGCTTTCTTTTCTTTTCTTTTTTGTAATTTATTGCTAGATTGTATTATGGCACTGCAGCAAATCATGGCTTTATTCATTACACTGAGTAGGAAAAAATAATATCGAGCCATATTGCAAATAGTACAGGGGGAAAACTTTTGAATAGGCTCTGCAGTACATCCAAAAACTTTAGGTAGCCAGAGGTCGCCACAATGATGACAATTTAAGATCTCCCATTTCACTTACCAAAGTGAACAAATCTCAGAATAAGAGATTGGTTACTCATGTTGCAATGGCAGTCTAAACAAGTTCTTCTCCTCCAATGCTCTTGGCTTCCCATCTGATTTTGCTGTAGCTAAGGGGAAGCCAGCTTTGAGTTTCCCTACTCCTTGCAAGTCTTCACTTGTTCCAGCCATCGTCTAATGCCCAAAGACAGCTTTTAAATGGATTTGGCCTAAGGCAATGGTCACATTGGCAATGTGATCATGAAGCAGATAGCAGCCTATTTAAGCTCCTCCATTAAGATGAAGTTAAAACTGCCACATCAAAAAGGTTGTAGGACCTTCTAGGCGCTGAATTGAATCTTTCCAGTTAATTGCTTTCTAAGATCTGACAAGCAGAGATTTCCCAAATTCTTGGGAAGCTTCTGAGCCATAAACTGAAAGAGCCAGTTATCTTTGCTGTATCAAACTGGTCCAGATCAAAGTATACCTGTGCATTAAAAGTATATATGTGTCCATTCTTTAAACTCATCTAAGTTCCCTGCCCTGGGAAAACTATAGTTTCAGGAAGCCATGGGTTTTCTTGTGTCATGTTATTTCTTTAATTACTGTTCCCTTTACCTGTGTTGTCTTGCTGTGCCTTTTGTGTGTGTGTGTTTGTGTGTGTGTGTGTGTGTGTGTGTGTGTGAGTGGTGGGTTCCGGATCCTGTTCCAACCGGTACGGTACGGTCCTACTGGATCGTAGAAGAGCCGAGGTGGCGCAGTGATTAGAGTGCAGTACTGCAGGCCACTTCAGCTGACTGTTATCTGCAGTTCAGCGGTTCAAATCTCACCGGCTCAAGGTTGACTCAGCCTTCCATCCTTCCGAGGTGGGTGAAATGAGGACCCAGACTGTGGGGGCGATATGCTGACTCTGTAAACCGCTTAGAGAGGGCTGAAAGCCCTATGAAGCGGTATATAAGTCTAACTGCTATTGCTATCTCATTCCAACTATACGGTACATGCATGCGTTGTAACTGTAAACGATGCTTCCGCAAGTTTCCGCATGTGCATGCACGGAAATGCTGAAAGCTTTAAAACACAGTAAGGAGCTCGGGTGGGCAGATGGGCCCTCTGGAGCACCATACTGTACAAATTTCCAGTGCTCTGGGCAGGCTCCGGTACACCCATACCAGGGCGTACTGCCTGCAACCCACCACTGGTGTGTGGGTATGTGTGTGTGTAACTTCTCTTTCTGAGGGTGTGTTGCCATTTTTAGTTTCATATCTGCTCTTAGTTTCTAAATTCCTTCTGGATACCAAATATTGTTTGCATACTGGTTCTTGTTGGATGGTCCCTGCGTTACAGGGATGACTTTTTAAATTCAATTGGTGGCAATTCTACCTCTCAGTTCTATGCCCCTGCCCTCCAAAAAAACTAAAGCAGGGGTATCCATTTTGCAACCCTAACACTTGTGGGCTTCAACTATCAGGCACATTTGAATGTAAAATCCACAAGTCTTAAGGTTGCCAAGGTCGGACACCCCTGAGCTAAAGTTTCTGTTGCAATAATAAATACACCCATGAGTGAGATTCAGCAGAAAAATTCAGCTGAGATGTTTTCAGCTGAAGATGAATTCAGCTAATCCCACCAACTAAGGCTAATTATGTAAATGGCCTGCAGGCCATTTGAATTATGAGTTATGGAAAACAAGTTATCAGTGCTCTGAGAATCAGCCTGTATCTGAGCCCTGTAAAATCAGTCAGATTTCTATTTTAAATGTTGGTTTTTATTATAGCAATTAATTCCTTTCTAATATTCCAATTTTTTTTCCCAGTTCTTTCCTATATCATTTTTATATGCATCAAAGGGTGCTGAGAAAAGCATTTTTGGAAAAAGATACCTGACTATTTAAGATATGCTGATAATATTTTTCTTTTTAAAAAATGAACATTAATGGCAGTTACATCTGAGCACTGGTTGTAAACAGAAAAACTCTTGACTGGTTGAAATAATCACTGGTGATCAAATCTAAGGAGCGGGGAAATAAAACAGGTTGAAGACAATTAACCTAAGATTCATAGCATAATCACAGACGTATTTATTTCTTGGGAAGAAATAAATGGAAAAATGCAGTATAGTTCTGTAATCTAATGTAAGAACTGGGCTTCTGCAGGAAGGGTAAAAAAAGTCAAGAAGTTGGCAATGATACTTGCCTCTTTTTTACTGGTTGTTGTATATGCAACTGTCATTTGACCTTTTCAAATTCACACACCTAACTGAGGCTGCTTGCTGCAATTGGGGACTCAGTAAAGGGGTACTTGGCAGGTCATAATTTATAGGTTTAGGATTCTGCATGTTGGGGATCACTGCAGAGTTCAAGTAGTAGTAGCAACGTTAATGCCAAAAATAGCACCCTGGAGCCAAGGAGTACACAAATAAGCTGTTATTGATTGAGCCATCCATTTTCTTTGCATTATTTTTATGTTTTCCATTCCCTGTCTTTCTAAAATAGTAATAGCAATAGCACTACTATTTCTTTGTGCAAAGTGATTGGAAAAAACAGATATGAATGTTCTTTTCTGCCTGGTAGTATCAGATGATGAAAGGCATGATGATGTGAAATAGTAGTTCAAATAGAATGACAGAGCCTTATGAATACATACATACATACATACATACATACATACATACATACATACATGTGTGTGTGTGTGTGTGTGTGTGTGTGTGTATTTACTGTGGTTCCAGAGGTAGCTATTTTAACTTTAACACATTCTTTTTCTTTGGCTTATTATGGAAATTGTCCCTTAATAGCTGAGAAATCATTTGAGCTCTGATTGCTTTACATATCAGAGGGCCAAATTTTAATAGTATCTTCTGCTAAAGCCTGCTAACATCTTTTTCTTTCCCTGTAGTGGAATCTTTGAAATGGCAACATTTTAAATATCTAATTAAGTTAGCTTACGCAACTCTGTCTTTCTTTTATAATAATATATATTTTCCCCTATGTATACATTCCAAACGAGTCCTAAACTAAATCATCCTTCCCTTCTTCTCCTCTTCTTCCTTTCCCTAATATTATTTTTTTTAAAAACTGCTTATTTTCAGATATCAGAAATATATAGTTAAGAAGATTTAAGAAGTTTTTATCTAGATTTTTCTTTGAAATGAAAAGTACTTATAATTTAAAATATTGTAGTCTAATTAGGCAGATACTAATCTCAATGAAGATTTATTGCCATTTAGCTAATATTTTTTTAAGTTCATCTGATATTCAGTAAAATTCTTAAATCTCAAAGACTCTTAAAGAAAAATAATGCAGTTATTTTAATATAATTGGAGAAGTTCCAAAAATAAATTTCTTATCTTCTCATAAAAACATGTGCTCATCTTCATGGAATTAACTCACTATTTTTGAGGCTATGCAACTCTGATTTTGGTTTGTGCAATAAAAGAGCACAAAATATTTCATGAAATAAAGTGTTTTTGTTTTTTGTACTTTATCTTGAATACTTTAGAAGTAAATTTCAAAATATTTATTATAATAAATCAGGAAGAAATCTGTTTACCTTAACCTTGTTTATATTTGACTTGCTTCTGTTTCTAACTGTTCCAAGTCCCACTGATATGTGAATAATTAAAATATTAATTCTAAAAAAAATAATTTAGAAGAAAAATACATTAACAAAATGGTATAATTATAATTTATATGTTGCCAAAATGTATACCACCATATTCCAAAAATGACAGAGAGTCCTGGAAATTAAAATTACTATGCAACATTGCCTGTCAAAATGTCTTCCTTTCTCTATTTTTTGAAAATAAACAAGTTCTAATATTATCAGATCATTGCTATCTACAATCCAGATGTATTTCACCTGTCAAGGTGGGATAATAATTCTTCGTGGTGTACAAAAAAGTAATTGATGTCTTCATAGATTCCACATGCAAGGGATTACTAGCAGTGATTAAATAAGTGTTATGTTAATAATATTCTCTGCTCAAACTGTGACATTAGTATGATAAATCTAAATATTTTTTATTATTTATTATTTATTTTACAATATAACTACAAAAAGGAAACAAAACATTTAATGCAAAACTGTGTGCGGATGGATGGATGGATAGATAAATAGATATAGATAGATAGATAGATAGATAGATAGATAGATAGATAGATAGATAGATAGATNGAGGAGGAGGAGGAGGAGGAGAAGGAGGGGGAGAGGAAGAAGAAGAAGAAGAAGAAGAGGAAGAAGAAGAAGAAGAGGAAGAAGAAGAGGAAGAAGAAGAAGAAGAAGAAATAATAATAATAATAATAATAATAATAATAATAATGGAGGAGGAGGAGCCTAGAGAGCAGCAGACAAGGGAGGATGCTGATGCCCCAGGAAGGATCCTTTTTCTATGTGAATTGAGTTGTTCCTTCTCAGCATCCTAGCCGTTATTCAATCCCTGTATGGGAACATGTAACTGCAAGATACTAACATCCCCCACTCTGGCTCGATACTGAGAACTCAGATCAACTGGCTTTTGTCCCCTTGGATTCCTCACTCACTTGCTTCAAGCACTGCAGAAGAACTCCAAAGAGGAGCGAGTAAGACAGGTGGCCTGTGCGGATGGGGGCGTTCTGAGGGGGCGCGCTAGGACTTCCCGAGGGAGGGGACAGAGGGCCAACAAGCTTTTTCTCGGGCTCCCTGCAACACAAGAGAAGACCATCGGTGTGGCCGGTTGTCCAGAGCTCCCGGGAGCTCCCCATTCCCTTCAGAAGACCGAGCTTCTTCCAGACCCTTTCAAATGAGCTTCCGGCTAGGACAAAGGAGAAGCCTTTGGGAGAAGAGGCAGCCGCTGCCCACACGCTCTGGGAAGGGAAAGGCTGTAACCAAAGGAAACATACACTGAATCACAGAGGCAGTAGGGGCTGAATCTCACAAGGCCGTCTTTGGTGGGGAGGCCCAGGCGGTGGAGAAGAGCGTCCGCACGAAGTGAGAGCAAGAAGTCAAAAACCTAAAAATGGAAAGAACAATCCAATGTAAGAGCAAGGAGGAGAAGAAAAGGGCATTGTTTTCAGTCATTCCAAGTGAAAAGAGCTCCTCAGCCAAGCTACCATTTCAGAAAAAAATTATTTCAGAAAGCATTAGATGGGCAGCCGAAAGAAATCGCCCCACCCCTCACGGTCACAGGGTCCCTGCCTGCAAAAGTCAATGTCCCACTGCATTGCTGTTAAACCTCATTCCTCTTGTCTCATCATCAGGTTCAAACCTTCACAATGACACCCCGGAGACAGGCAAGGGGGCCGCAGTTAGCCTGGTCTGGGGATTCATCAAGAGAGCTCAGAACTTGTAAAAGCAAGACAGCAGGTTCAGCAGCAATGGCCACGCAAACCCTTTTGCTCCCCCTTTGCTTCCTCCCTCCAACTTTCCCTGCAAATCTCTGGATCTGGGAAGGGGTGTGAGAGAGCATTTTCACCTGCAGGCGGATACTGCTGGCAATGGGGAGGCTGTACTTGTGCTTATAGTGGAGCTGAAGGTGATGGACGAGCATCTCGTAGACCCGCATGGCGTGGCTGGCAGGCAAGCTGTACAACTTCGTCTAAGAGGAGGAGGGGGAAAGTTTTTGTCAACCTGGAGTTGTTCTCTTCTACTACAAAAGCACAGAAAGAATGGCTGAGGACCACATTGAAGTCTTTAAAATATTTTCCTGGGAAGGGAAAAAGAAAAGGCGGGCAGGAACTTTACCTGGAAAATGACAAGTAAGCCAACGACGGCCGTTTTCACGTCTTCTAAGGAGGTCGAGTAAGAGAGCAGGTCTCTTTCTTCCAGGTCAGCAGGGGGCAGCAAAGTGTGGGAAGCCACCTTTACAGGAAGAGAGCAAGCAGTTTTGCTGAAGACAACAATGGGGACTTAAAGGGGTGGAGATTGGGGAGGCGGGGCTTATGCTGCAGCGGCACGACGTGCGATCGTGTAGCTCCCAGATCACCGTCAATATCTCTCCCGCTGGACAGTCCTTCTGGATCTAAACCGTCCCGTAGAGATGGTGATAGTGAAGGGCACATCCTGCCAATCCCAGGGACATTGCAAAGTCCCTGGTTGTTCCAGGAAAAGCCTTTCTTTCCGGCAGTTGCGAGGCAGCCATTAAAGCTGCTGAAGTTGTGGACAGCTCCGATACAGAAGAGAGAACAGGAGAAAGTGTGTTGTTTTGGTGAGAGGACTTTTATTTACTATTATTTGAGAGAACACCCTAAAAGACTATTATTAAAATTAAAATTGAAAACTGAAGTGGTTAAGCGGCGAAATTAAACCACAGTCACATTGAGTGTTTTTTTCCCCTTTTTAATATTGGAATTTGGCTGGATTTCTACAAACATCTTTTATTTTTAAACTGGACTGGGTTCCCCCCGCCCCCCCCCTGTGAAACACGGAGTCCATACCTTCTCTATGATATCCAGCAAGCTGCTGAAGTGATGGGTATTGCAACCTTCAGCCAAGTCCACCAGCAACTGGGTGGCCAGTTTGCGAACTTGGTGGTCTTTATCTTCCGGGACATGAGACAGCTGGGAGATGACCAGATTGATCAATTCCTCCTGCAATCAGAGATAATTTCCCACTGTAACTAAGGTGGGTTTCTATGCTGTCAGGCAAAACCATCAGGTTCAGGAGTCTTGGATTTCTAGGTCCTTAAGCAGCCACACGTCATCCGACCTCTAGAACCCACAATCTCTTCAACACACGCAACCATGAATGTGCATTGGGATGTGCAAAAGACGTTGGGGAATGAGGGGAAGAGAGGTTGGGTGCAGAAATTCCTAGTCACTTAGGGGTCAAGAAAAGAAACTAAGGGAAGGATCTGTCCTAGAGGGAAGATTTTCTAACTTGCAAGATTGATATCAGCCCTATATTGTACAGGTAGTCCTTGATTTACGACAATTGAACTAAAAATTTCTGTTGCTAAGCTAGACTGCTGTCTAGAAAATTTTGTTCCATTTTATGACCTTTCCTGCCACAGTTGTTAAGTACATCAATGCAGATGTTAAGTTAGTAGCACACTAAATGAATCTGGCTCCCGCAGAAGATCAAGAAATGTGATCACGACCCCAAAACACTGCAAATGAGTCAGTTGCCAAGCGCCTGAATTTTGATCTTTGCTTCTGCCTTACTTTTTTTGTTTATAAACTATTGTTTTATCTTTCAGCAGTGTTAGTGAGCAATTGTGGCACTTTTACAACTGTTAATATTACTCCTGAGATTTTGAATTCAGCTGATTGCCAAGATCTCTGAGCACTTCACAGTAAAAATGCAGTTTTCTATAATTTTTAAATGCTGAACTAGTCTTTATTGATTGTTGTTTCAATTTGTGATTTTAAAAATTATGTTCTGCTGCTTTTACTGAGTCCCACCTAACATACTAAAAATCAATAGACAAATAAGTAATCATTATAAATTCACCACCTTAAATAGGAATTTGAGAAGTGCAAGCAGTGACAGGTGGGGGAAGAAAGAGAGCAGTACATATATTCAGGGTTTCCAAAGGATCCAAGGATCACCTGATGGCAGCCAAAGAAGCAACTCACAGATGTTCCATTTCACTGCAGGAAAGCACTGAATCTATGAGACACAGACAAGAAAGAGGCTGCGCAGCTTCCTCAGACAAAAACAGACCTGTCCAGACCAACCAGATCAGAAGATGCATCTCTAGCTTGGCCAAACACCTGGTCAGTTTGAGCATGAACACCTCTGCTTCTGTACATAGAACAGTTTGCACACCAATTGTTTGTGCCTCTCTCCTCTGGCCCGTTAACCACAAAGCCTGACGACCTCTCTGCACAATCAGAATAAGAGGGAGACTCACCTCATAAAGCTGCCTGTTGACACTCAGCACGAAAGACAAAACGTGCAAAACCTTTATGCGAACAGCACCCCGGCTCTCATTTCTAAACAGAAAAGATGGAGAAATAAAGTTGCTTTTCAAAAAGAGACCAAATCTACCCTTGCAACTCAAACTCTTATGGTGGGCAGCGTTGCTCAGCTTGTTAAACTATGAGCTAACTCTGGGAGTCATCTGAGCCTTTAGCAGAAACCAATCTTTGGTTTATTCAGTGGTGATGAGCTTCTGGGCTAATAGGACATGTTCCAATGATTTGTTATCCTAATTATAACATTTAACTTAAAACAATATAATAATTATAGAAATACTGCTACTAATAAAAGCATGCATCAATATAAGTATATGTAGTTTTTTCATCAGAAGTTACTGTATTGCACTTATGAGATGGCTTGATTTTACAGCAATTTTTATGGCGATCATTAAGCAAATCACTGTAGTCATTAAGCAAATCACTGTAGTCATTAAACAAACAATGTGGTCATTAAGCAAATCCAGTTTCTTCAATGGGCATTTTTTACCACTTTTTGCCAAAAAACAGCAAAAAAAAGGTCACAGGTAGCAATCATGAGATCTCATTTTGACACCTGGCAACCGGCGCACATTTACAACCAATTGCCAAGTGCCCAAATTGTGACCACGTGACTGTAAGGGTGGAACAGGTCAAGTGTGAGTCCAGGTCATGTCACTCTTTCCAAGCCCATTTTAACTTTGGACCGTTGTTAAACGTACCGTGATAAGGTGAGAAGTAACTGTAAATCTTTGGTTTGAATGATTTGGATTTCCTATGCTGTAAACCATGCTTTGCACTTAGTTTCTCTCTGGGATCCAGACAACCATGGCCTCAACGTCCCTACTCTGATGTGGGGACGCAGCCACAGAAATGTAAGCAATGTGACAGAACATTAGGTCCAATGCAAGGTCCACAGACGTATCGGCTGCCCAAGTGTCCAAATTCTTGAGCAGTCACTGTCTCTTTCTAGGCCCTTTAACAAAAGAAGAGGCCACCATCACTAAGTCTCTGTAATTCCACTTTGGAATCATCTGAACCAGGCAGAAATTTCTCCTAATATTTCTTCAGTTATAATACGTTGGTTGGTATCAAATCATTTAGAGCCAAGTGAAAGTAAGTTTGCTACTTTATCTATATATTCGGTATTCAAACTGAGATCAGGTTCAACACCCACCTACCCACCCTGCCACTCCCAGTGAATGGAACTCACAGCTACCCACTCATCCTCCCTCCCGATCCATGTGAGTGGCCTTCAGCTCCCAGAAGAGAGACGGGTCGTTATTGCAATACATAATATCAAAGATCAGAAAGGTATGATTACATGGGCTGGAGTCATAAATAGCTCTAAGCTATAAAGCAGTTCACAAATCACAGTGGCTACATTCAGAAGGCGCAAACCGTTTTGAATGTGGGAGCTCAGTCCCTTCCTGACATGGCCTGCAGCAGCTCTTTGTGACCCTCACCTCAGCATCCCCAACCGGCAAAGCCTGGAGAGAGAAGAGGTGATGTGGAGCCACGTGGCGGTTGTTGGTCCTACCTGAAGAACCTGTCCATTAATCCCTGCAGGTTCTGAATCCAGCCGTCCTTCGCAGGATGGATGGACTGAGCTCGGTAGGTTATGAGGTTCAGAACTGAAGATTCCTTTCAAAAGGAAACAGAGAGGCAGCTGTGAAGGGGTGGGGGAAACGATACTGGAGTTCTGAATAATTTTCATTTTAACTCTCTTTTGCTTCTTATATAATTTTATATACAGTTTTTAGGTTTTAATATTTTACATTTACAGCAGCCAGAGTCCCTCTGTCAGAGATATGGGCAGTTTCTAAATTTGATAAATTAAATAAAAATAGCCTCCTACCTTTTCCCAGTAAGATCCAAGCATTCTTGGATCACGTTTTGTTGTGAATCTCACCAAAGATTAACCAAATAACAACAACAACAACAACAATAATAATAACAACAACAACAACAATACTGATACTGATAGATTATACCTGCCCCGAAAATCAGGTGGCAGAGGATTATTACAAGTGAAGCAAATAGTTGAAGAAGAAAAACATGCACTGGCTGATTATTTAAAAGAAAGTCAAATACATCTATTAATCGAAGTAAAGAACAAAAATCTATTGAAGGCCCAACAGACAAAACAAGAATACAGAAAAGATGTGATAAAATCAAGAATGATTTTACAGCAGAACAGAGC